AATTCGCTTATATTATAGCTTGATTATTATTATTTTTTTTGATTCAAGGAAGTTTTTTCCTCTTGCGATATCTTTCTTCTCCATGACTATTGACTACACACACTGCATTAACCACGCTCTTCAAACATTAACAAATTGTTATGAAAAACGATGCGCCAAAAAGAATTCTCGAACTTATCATTGACTTAACATCTTAACAACAAACTCCAAAAAGTTTTGTGAATGGGCTAATTTGACGATCGACTCATGCGTGACTGCTTTCGACCAATCAAAAATATGTTGAGATCCCCATCCTGGTAAACAATAATGCTACCAACTATTGCCTAACCCAGTGTTCATTAACTCCACCTACAGTGGATGCTTGAGAAACACAATCCTCAGTTAACCCACCCAATGTTGAAATTAACACCGGGTTAGTTAATTGATATTGTATAGTATTTATACCATTTTTGTTCCTGCTTAGTTTAGTTCTAATACTGAGAGTGGCTCCACTCTTTATTGTGACGCACTATATCTCTTTCTTCGGGAAGGTGTTTTGAGTTTGATTAGGGTTGATTTGTATCTGCCAAAACATTTCCTGCATGTTAGCTGTTAGCACAAATCTGAAAGAACTCAAACCGTTCTCTAACGAATTAGGATGTCAAATAATTCTGACTGAACCAAAATCTTGTTCAGTGAAACGCCTGAAGATGACATTGAAGCATCAAACATGACCCTTAGTTCCGTGGTTAAGCTATTTTCGCTCAAAAATACAATGATGTGGAATGCAATATTTGTTCTAAAAACCTGTTCACGGGCGAAAGAGAAACATATTCTACTTGGCCCAGTGTGAGATATTCTTTAATAAAATCTGTGTATTCAGGTTTTCGTCCTTGGCTAACCTTTGCTCAAGGTTGAGAAAACGCCTTTTTGCTTGATTAAACGACTCACCAAGTTGTTTATGTGCATTAGGCTCCACTAAAGGCAAGTCCACTTATGGTACTTACCTACCATTCGGGAGTTTCAACAAAAATATTTTTCAAGAGTTCACCTTCCCAGGAAAAAAAATATTATTTCCTCAATGTTTCAAAAGAGCTTCAGATGCATCAATATCTCTATCGATAAAGTTATTTGGAAAATTATCCTTTGAGTGATTCGAAGAGTAAAGGCTAAATGTAGGCGAGCATTCCTGATATTGGAACACTATTTTGCCCGTCCAAATGACAGACTATCCAAGAATCGAGTTTTGTAAGGTGGGTAGCCCTTTTCCCATCAGCTCCCAATAGCATATCAACCTAAGAAGAACCACAAAAAATAGGATCAGCCAATCTGACGATATCAGAAATATTCAGAGAAGACACATCAATAGATAACTTTAGAAGTTGGCACGTAATTTTCTTTAACACAACACAAGACGTTTCAAATCTTTTTTCAATATCAAGCAACTAGTGAAATTATACTATTTGATTGTAGAGAACTCTGAGATATACCGGTTATTTGCAACCTTTTGGTATATGGAATGAAGTTTAGTTCTTCTATGAGTTATAAATAAAACCTCATAATTAGACGGTCGCCCTGGACATGATAAATCAAAATATAGGCTAAGGCGAGTAGGAAGTCCTGTCGGTGTTTGACACATTTTTGAAATGAAGGACAATGTGCTGACATATGGCCACCAGCCAAGCAGATAAAGCCAGCGTAAATTCTGTGAGTCAGTTTTGCGAAAGAACCCGGATCAGGATTAAAATTGTTGTGAAAGACTGGTTTTTCACCGGGTTTCTCATCTTGAAATTTTCGAAAACCGAATACTTTCTTTCCAGGAATATGGAAAATTCTTCAAGGGACGGCAACTGATTATAGAAATTCTTCCAGTTCCAGTGCCTTTCTCAATCCGAGGTCTAATAATTTTTGAGACAAAATATGAATTACACCTATTTTCCGAACTTTCCAATTAAATCCAGAAGTACCTACTCAATTGTCTAGAAAAAAGAAATTCATTGACCAACAGAAAAGAGAATATCAGCATCAGATGTTCCTTCACCACACTGTAGGCCAAACTGATTAGTGGAGACAGCTTACCAAATGAAGGAAGAAGAGAAACTGGTCGGAAGTTTGCTGAAGAGTCTGAATCTTCCTCTTCGTGCAGAGGAACAACCACTGCATCTTTAGGGATACCTAGAAAAATACCCTTACCAAAGGAATCATTCATTACATTTTCAAGCGCATGAAAACCACCACAATCCTTAAGATGCAGTAACAGTTCAACGAAGATGTCGTCATAGCCGGAAGAATTTTTGCTTTTGAAAGTTTTGAGGGTTACTCTGGTTTCCGGAACAACGCCTGGGTGCCAAGAAAAAGGAATTAGAGACACCCTTATGTCAATCACTTCTTTCTCCGAGTTTTTCGAATGAAACCTGGTCCAATAAGGATACACTGTTTCAAAGTTTTAGTGACATGATAAAGAACATAGAAGGTGATCCACAAGCTTTTCTATAGAAGGATTAGGCCGGAAACACACCTTCGACACGGTACGTCACATTACGAGCTGGCGCGTGCAGTACTAAAAGTGAGGTCTTCAATTTTACGTGTGTTCTTATGGATCTCGATCACACACGCTACATGGTACGGTATAGCCAACGCGGTACGCTGACGTCACATAACACGCGTGTCTCCGCTTGGTCGTTGATTTGTGGAAATCCACACTTTTATCACACGCGTGCTGGGTATGCAACCAGTTTTGTTCAAAATTGTGTATGTTTGTATGGTTAGTGTTTGTGGTTTGAAAAACAAAAATAGAAGAATTATTAATTGAAAAAGTACGGGAACATGAGTCATTATTTTTCGTAATTATTTTCGTTGTGGTAATCTCATGTACCCATAATGTCCTTTGACTTGCTTTATTTTCTAATATTAAGTAAGCATACTGTCGTCTTTTCGCCCTCTTCTAGTTCTTCTTCCCAATCAGAAGAATCGGTACTGCTTGCACATTGCATTTTTTAACACTTTAGACAAATACTATTTCTGGAATTAAAATAAAATTGGCGGAAAAAACCTAGTCAGTCTCGGTGCAAGGTATGAAGCGTGTTGTGTAAGCAAAGAGTGTGTTTCTAAGCTCAAATTTGTATTATACGTCACGGTACGCGCTAGCTCGTAACGTTACGTACCCTGTCGAAGGTGTGTTCCCGGCTTTATCTACAGGAGTAAAGCATCCTTGAGAAAAGACAAAAAGCTCGGGTAGGAATGGTGGTCTTTTTGTCCCAGAAACCGGCACCAGAAAGGGAAAATAATTTCAATAGAAATATAAATATTGCATCAGTTAGACTTCTATGAGATTTTGAATTCTATTACTTCACGTCTTGACGAAGCCAGGTAAAGGTAGCGAGGATGAGGCTGGATGATGAAGAGTAAAACACTGTTTATATCTCTCCCTAAGTGTAGCAAATGCTTTTACGCTACCTCCGTCTCTTTTTACTGCATTAAAGCTGCTGAATATGTTTATCTCAAAGAACTTAAGCCAAAGCATATGCTCGTGTTTCATGTATATGACCCAAAGTGTATATGGACAAATCAAACAGCAGGGATAATTAGAATAACTCAAATGACTTTATTTTTTACATTTGCGAATCTGAAACAATAATATTTCTAATGTTACTAAACTAGAACTATGAATATACGCATAAAACAATAATCAAATTAACGAAGTGAGAATTATATAGTAGTAAAATAATTATATTTTCTCGATTATTAGAAATAATCAGAAATTTGAACATGCAGTTGAACGTGTATATTGTCGTGTAATAGGTAGGTATGTAAGCTGCTTCAAATATAATTCTTGAAATTCATTCATGCCCTCCATACTAAGTATAAATACCAGTTGATATGTTTTGTTTTTCAAATGTAACCACCTACTCATACTTTTACTTTAACCACAATTTTTGATTGATCATTTTTAGCCTGGGCACTTTCCAAGTATGTACTTGTTAACAAAAATTTTAGTTACCCAGCTTAAAATAATTGTTTAGGACCTATCAAGGGTCTTATTAATTACTAAAAAAAAATCGCTCTGGGAGAGACAATAATAATAATAAATAAATGATAGAAAAATATTGTATGAATTAAAAACAAATAATCACTAATGCATGGTCTGAGATCTAGCAACGTATTTTTCTGTTGATTGCAAATTGAACTAAATTTTGGCCAAATGTGAATTTTCTTAATAAATGTCTGTATGTTTGGGGCGGAATTATAATATAATCTTGCATTTTTTTGGAATTACACCTAAAAAGATCAAGGAACTTCTGGCGAAAAATTTAATGTCCCAAATAATGCGAAGTAATATTGTGAATTTTCTTGAGATGAAACCGAAATGGACCGTCAGCTAGCTGACCTCGGGTAGTTGCCCAACCCAACGACGAATTTATCAAGTTGCTAAATGTTCGGGTTCTGTCATGTATTAATAATAAAATAGGTAGGTACGTGAGTTACGGTCAAACCGAATTATACACCAACTTTATTTTTTAGTTTTGACAACGAAGAAAGTATAGCGGGAGCCTCTTGTTGTATGTTATACTTTCGGATATACTATAGTTTGGCTTATAGCGATAACAATTTCTAGCTGCATCTAGAATTGCCACTGTAAAGTTGGCCCAAATTTTAGCAGCAGGTAGCAATGGTTTAAATTTACAACTAACATTGGCATGCTTTTTTTCCCCAAAAATAAAAGGCAATACTAGTGAGTCCGAGAAAACACGTTATTGTCCTGACAACGGCAAAAAGCTCTAGGTTGTAGGAAAAACTAGCAAATATTTTCTAAAAACGCTTTTGTGAAAAACAAACAACTTTGAAATGAAAATTTCAATTATTCAACAACTTTCCAACTACGACGGAGCAGTAATTACCCGAGTACTGCCAGTTAACGGTCCTCTTCAGTACAAAAAAATTGATCTCTCCTTATACATTTCCAGCTCATCTGCTTAATTTGGAAATACGCTGCCTTTACCAATGCAAAAAATTATTGTTTCATGCATTTTGTTATCAACCTAACAAAAAAAAACAAAACATGGGTCCTATTTGAAAAAAGTATCAAAACTACAATTAATAGTCTTATGTACTTTGTTGAAATGTCTCCTCAAAGTATACTTGAAATAACTCCTGTAGTCACAGAATGGACAATGAAACTGAGGTTTTTTTTGACACTCCATGCTGAGGTGTCTATACAAAGATGGGTGATGAGAAAACGTTCTTCCACACTTGGCACAAATAAATTTGTGATGTGCCGGAGGTGGTACAATAAAAATTGTTTCTTCTTTGCAGTCAGTATCAGTTTCGTCATCACGGACAGCTAAAATATCAATTGATTTAATATACTTGGCTTTAATTGTCCAAGGTATACAGTCATAAAATAAGTGTTTTGTTTATCACTAAATATTAATTAAAAACTGTATTCAATATCTCTTTACAACTTGGAGCAACTCCAAATGTTTAACAATAGTTATAATATTTATAAACGATTAACAATATTTGTATATAATTTGTAAAAAAGAGCATTTTTGGTCCTCTCTTTAGCCCAAGTTTCGTTTAGACGAAATTATAATATTTATAAACGACTAACAATATTTGTATATAATTTGTGAAAAAAAAGCATTTTTGGTCCTCTCTTTAGCCCAAGTTTCGTTTAGACGAAATTAGTTGCAAACAAAATTATAGAATCCATTCTACACAAAAATACTAGCGTAGTATATTTTTTTCCCAAAGAAATGCTTCGTTTCCAGAAAACTCACAATAATTATAAAAAATATTGCGGGTTACTTTTTCTATTGTATTATTTATTCACTTAAAAAGTTGATTCAAAAAGATCTGTTCAACAAGATGGCATTATTAACTCCATCCGAAAGTGGAGTTTAGAAACGCGACCAATTTTCCGTGATTTTTGCGATAAATATTATATGTATGTATTTACATTAAAGAAAAAATAACGACCCACACTCCAACAAATGGAAAGAATGCATATCCGGTGAAATTTGTTTCTTTGGTTTTGTTTGAAAAACCTCCAAAATGCAGACTAGAAACAAATTTTCAGGTATCTGATTTCAGCTTTTCTAAACAGTAAAATTTTTTGGAAAATAAAAATGATGCAATGCGCGCAATGTTTCTTTATTTCTATGTTTAGACGAACATCATGTCTGCAGAGCAACAAGGATTTTTGATATACCTTTCGGCTTTTGTGAACTCGATACAGAAAACGGAGGTGAAGTATTTCGGTGGAAAAAAAATTGTTAAGAGAGGAATCTGAAAGGCTATATCGGCTGAACGAAACTTGGTCCGAATAAACTATGTAGTTACATAGGTAACAATCAATGACCTATGACAGATAGACGGTACAATAAACGGAATCGGCTCCTTGAGGATATTTCTTTTATTGAATTACAATGACCCACATTAGCCTTTAAAAGTATCCCTTCAATTTTTTTTTGCATATATGGAATATTAACGTCGTAATAGATAACTAAGAAAACGCCAAAAATTGAGCTCACGCGACGGTGACGTCACGAGGTATTATTGTCAATTTTGTTCTTACGATATATTACTCTTACATTTCTTGACAAAGTTTTTTGTAAATTTTTTAGTTAGTCATTGTATACCAGGTTGTAAAAGTGTAACCTATTGAAGAAAAATAACAAAAACTCTGGCTAACAGCCATGAGACCCATCCTTGCCTTTATGAAGATCATTTAAATGTAAGTATTTAAATTTCAAAAGTTAAGTCAAATTGCAAATTTACGTTTGAGTTGGTTCAGAAATAAAAATATAATAAATATTAGCCTAACCTCACTTTTGTTTGTTATTTTGTTTATAAACAGAACAGGAAAGTAGTATATACCTCGTGACATCAAAAATAATAATGGCCTAGTGTTTTCGTGTGACGTCAAATTTGAAAGAAGCAGGCGAATTTCCCAGGTAAATTAATTAATAAGGTAGGTACCTAACTAGAAGTTTTCTTGGAAAAAAAAAATATTGTGGAGAGCTTGATGTTTCAGAAGATATTTAAGAAGTTTTACGGTAAAAATAAAAATGTATGCAGCCAAGATCTCCATCAGCGGATTATTGAAATTATTTCGCGTTGGTATTTTGCTTTTGAACATTTAGCTCAGATATTATATCCTCTAGGACTAAAATAAACGCTTGGCTGGTCGCTAGTGTCTCCAAAAAAAATTAACTTGCACTCGTCGATTATTAAGACAAAAAACAAAAATTTAGTCGCTTCGGCGGTACCTGTGGACAAATGATTCAAACTATGAAGTAACATAGCAAACTGACTAATGAAATTTCTAAAACTACAACGACGAACTAGTGTGCTGACAGTTTGAGATTCCCGAGGAGATTCCTTTAAGCAAATTACTCTAATATACTTAAGGGTTGACCCTAAACAAATTATTATAAAGCTGGGACGCATCTCAATAGTTAGTGTTTCAGGTCCTTATTAACATACTAAAAGTCCCCAAGTGTCCGTGTTGCATAACATTCCGAAATTAGGTCCGCCATCTTGTGTTTTGGCATATTTTTGAAGTTTTGTCAAGTAACTTAAAATTCTTGAGATTCGAAAAAATGTCAAAAGGCAATTCCCACATTTTGGTGCTTATTTCACCTTTCTAGGCACAACCGTTCTCAAGATATACAATTTTGAATTCTGCAGTAACATGAAAAAAATAGAGTTTTATTTCATAAAATGTAAATTTTCCTAGAAACACCAATATTTTTTTTGCTTTGAATAATAAGTAGGTAGGTATATAATTGCACTATATTAAATTGCATATATTCGTGTCCAACGTCAAGTGCGAAATATGGTATAGTATTTCCCGAGGGATGGTTAACTGGCAAAATCCGTGTACAAGTTGGTCAAAATCCCAGAAAATCTCATAAGATCTACTGAAAATCCCTAAAAATCTTTGAAATCCTTCCAAATTCAACAAAATTACTTGAAATTGCATAAAATCCTACAAGAAATCTAACAAAATTTCATTAAAACCAAAAAAATCCTGCAAAATCCTATAAAATCATTAACACTCCTAAAAAAAATTTCCTTTGAAATTCCCAAAAATTCTTTGGAATCCCCAAAAATCTCAGTCTCTCAGAATTCCATAATTTAGTGGAATTTCGGTAGAATTATGTTATTCTGAAAAAGGAATTACATGTGAAATTTTTGCGGAGTTTCCATAGAATTCACATTAAATTTTAGTTCCTCTCGAATTACATGAAACAGTGAAATTCCGATCGAATTACGCGAAATCCTAAATGAATTGCATGGAGGAATTTCAAACAATTATATGAAATTACACCGAAATTCCCACCATGAAATTTCAGTTCTTACTGAATTTTATTTAGTGAAATTCTAGAAAATTCCACAAGTGGAATGCCGGCTAAAAACATGGAATTTCTGTGATATTCCGAAAAATTCCCATGTAAAGAGATGAAATTTCAATAAATTCCGGTGAATTTTCAAGAAATTACTTGAAGTTTCATTAATATTCCCAGAAATTCCTGGCTATTAAAAGAGAATTTCAGTGAAATTCCAAAAATTCTTATGAAAATAAATGAAATTTTCAAAAATTCCTGGAGAAATCTCCGGCCATGAACGTAGAATTTCAAAATATTCTCATAAAATTTTAGTGAATTCCGAGGAATGCTTAAAAAATTACTTACATGCAATATCAATGAAATTCCGAAGAATTTAATGAAAATTTTTTGGAATTCCAGGATATTTGACTGGTGAAATTTTGGGGAATTTCAGTAGAGTTAATAAAAAAAAAATTAGGAATTTTTAAATTGAAATTTTAGTGGAATTCCGAGGAATTTCATGAAATCCTATACTGTAATTCCGAAAAAAATTTGTCTAAGAATTCCATAAAATCCTGGTGAAATGTTAAGGAATTTCTATAGAATTACTTAAAATTTTCGCGAAATAACTTGAAATTTTAGTGGAATTTCGAAGAATTTCATAGTGTAATTTCGAGGAATTTTTGTTCAAGAGTTCCATTGAATTTTATTGTGGAATTCTATGAAATCTTATGGTGAAATTTGGAAAAATATTATGAAATCTAATAGTAAAATATTTAGGAATTTCCGTTTTTTCATTCAAATTTACCATTTGAATGGAATTTCGAGGAATTCCATAAAATCTTCTGGTGATATTCTAAGGAATTTCTATGAAATTAACTAAAATTTTCACGGAATTCCCATAGAATAACTTGAAATTTCAATGGAATTCCGAAGAATTTCATGAAATCTTATATTGTAATTCCGAAGAAAAAAAAATTCCAAGAATTCCATTGAGTTTTATGGTGTGAAATGTGACATGTGAAATTTTTGGGGAGTTTCCATAGAATTCACATTAAATTTTAGTTCCTCTCGAATTACATGAAATTTCGAGACATTACATGAAATTTCAGTGGAATTTCGATCGAATTACATAAAATCCTGAATGAGTCGCATGGAGGAATTCTAAACAGTTACATTGAATTACACCGAAATTCCCAATGTGAAATTTTAGTGCTCGTTAAATTACATAAAGAATCTTTAAAAAGTTTCAATAAATTACATAATTTCCGAGGAATTTTCGTCGAATTATAAGGAGCTTCGATGCGATTGCATGGAATTCCAAGGAATTGTCAGGGAATTACATAAAATTTAAGTGGAATTTTGAACAACTCTTATCGTTTCATAAGGAATTCCAGTGAAATTCTGAAAAATCCTAATGCAATTACATGAAGTTTTATTTTTATTCCAAGGAATTCCCAGTTAAAAACATGGCATTTTAGTGAAATTGCGAAAAATTCCCATCGAATTACTGAATTTTAGTGAAATTAGAGAAAATTTTACAAGTGGAATTCCGAGGAATTTCCGGCTAAAAACTTGGAATTTCGGTGAAATTTGGAAAAATTCCCATGTAATGATATGAAATTTCGATATATTTCGTAGGAATTTCGGTGAATTTTCAAGAAATTACTTGAAGTTTCATTAATATTCCCAGAAATGCCTGACTATTGAAAGAGAATTGCAGTGAAATTCCAAAAAATTCTTATGGAAATAAATGAAATTTTGAAAAAAAAAAATTAAAGTTTCATTGGAATTTCGAGAAGTTTTCGACTGATAACGTGGAATTTCAGTGAAATTTCAAAAAATTTTCATAAAATTTTAGTCAAGTTCCGAGGAATTTCTAAAAAATTACAGGAAATTTCGGAAAATTTTATGAAAATTTTGTGGAATTGCAGGATATTTCAGTGGTGAAGTTTTCAAGAATTTCAATAAAGTTTTAAAAAAAATTATGGAATTTGGAATTTCTATAGAATTTTGGAGAATTTCAGTGGGATTTCGAAAAAAAAAAAAATATATGAAATATTCGCAGAATTTCCATCAATTTATATATAATTTCACTTTGTGTCGACTTACATAAAATTTCGATGAAATGTTGAGTAAAATTCGAAGGAATTCTCATCGAATTACATACGTAGAATTCCTTGAAATCTTATTGTGGAATTCCAGTGAAATTACATAGAATCCGAAGAATTCACTTGAAATTAAACACAATTTCCGTGGAATTTCAATGGAACCACGAGAAATTTTGACGGAATTCCGAAGAAATGAATTAAATTTTAGTGAAATTCTGAATAATTTCTGTTGAATTACATAAAATTTTAGTGGAATTCCGAGAAATTTCATGAAATCTTTTACAGTAATTCCAAGGAATTTTTGTAAAAGAATTCCATTGAATTTTATGGAGAAATTCCATGGAATCTTTTGGTGAAATTCGGAAAAGTATTATGAAATCTTATGGTAAAATTTCTAGGACTTTCTGTTTTTCTATTCAAATTTGTCATGTGAATGGAATTTCAAGGAATTCCATAAAATCTTCTAGTGAAATTCTCAAAAAATTTCGCAGAATTCCCATGGAATTAAAATCTCTAAAAATGCTCCAAAATCACCTAAAATCTTTTAAAATCCTGTAAAATCAATGAAGATTTAAAATCTATGTACATATTTTGAGGAGTTAACCACCCCTCGATATTTCCAAACCTTGTTCCAATTGACTTTGGGAAAACTATAACAGCGGATTGGATTTCCCGTTGCTTATCCAGTTTTGTTTGAGAGCATGGGAGTTCTCCGTTTTAAGTTTGTGAACGACCAAACGTAACTAAACATAAATTTTAATTTTGTTTCCTGCATTTTTCAACAGCAAAAATAAGAGCTGAATTTATTGACGTAAGGTTTCCAAGTTCAAGATTAATTATTGCTAGTGGAAGAACAAGAGTAGTTTCAAAATTTGCTGACACAGTGATTGCCATATATCCATTCCAACTAGGTTTGTTATTAAAGTCTAATTAGAAACGAGACATCCCAAGATAATTAATAATTGAACTTTGGTAAGTGTTTTAATTTCTTCAAAATCAGTAATTGATTGAACGGTAACTTTTTTAAGACCTAAACTTTTTTTTATATAAGATATTATGGGAATACAATTAAATGAGCCCTTAATGTCCTTAGGTTTGTTAGTTGTTCTTAAAACACTTTCTGATGAAACATAAGTATTTGCCGGTGATATACAAACTATACCCCGTAAGTTGTGAAATGAGAGATCGTATATTATATTCAGCATTGTCATATACAAACTGTTGAAACCTCGGTTGAAACGCATCACTGGTTACATCAAAGTTATTATCAAAAGAAGCGGCTATTTCAAGTTTAAGGATTTCGCGATAACTTTGAGAGAATCCAACAGAAGTAACATATCTATAAGACTTTTTAAACCATATGTGCGATGAATGAGGAGAAATATAGGACCGATGTCTAACCGCACTTATAATAGAATTGGCTATAGCCAATTCAACTTTATTGTTTTCTGATTTGTTGGTAAGTAAAGATAAAAAAATAAGTAACAGCTGTGGTATGTTTTGAAAGCCTCCATTTGTTATATCACCAGCTGAGGGGTATTGATCCAGAACATAGAACTTTGGTCGAATTTCTTCTCTTAATACCCCAGAGAAATTAGACCAAACAAGGGACCATCTGCGGAATGAGGCCGAACAAGCTGAATTTTTGCAGAGACCTTCGTTTTGATGTTCTAATGAAGCACAAAAAAAATCGAATATGCCTACCTTTGTGCGTCTTGAGATATCGAAGGTCAAAGGTCACGAAAACCTTGCTTCCAGTTCATCTGACGTCGGAGAACCCAATACAAAACTTACGTAAAATAGTATTTTCTACAAAATTGTTCCTATACATTTTTTTGTACGACCAACCGTTTTCGGAATATAGCGTAATAAAGCGGGAACGCGCATTCAAAATAGGTGATACTATTATACAGGGTGTCCCCGTCAACTGGTCAAAAATGCTAGAGTATATAGAGGAACCATAGAGAAGTAATTTTAGATAGAACTAGGACACCGATGGTCGGAAGTGCATGGTTTCCAAAATACAGCGTGTTGAAATTTAAACAACCCCCTTTCATATCATCTGAAGGGCTAATGCTAGGCTGTTCAAATTTCCAGGGATTATTGATGTAGGAATGATATTTAAAAATTCGTATAATGCACTCCCATTTTCTACTTAATTGAAAAAAAAAAAAGCAATTTGTTTCAAATTTTTGTTTTTTTTTTTTGGGTGTTTCCAGGTAGAAAATGGGGGTGCATTATATGAATTTTTTAATATCATTCCTACATGAATCATCCCTGAAAATTTGAACAGCCTAGCATTAGCCCTCCAGACGATATGAAAGGGGGTTGTTTAAATTTCAACACCCTGTATTTTGGAAACGACGCACTTCCGACTATCGGTGTCCCATCTCAAATTACTTCTCTATGGTTCCTCTATATACCCTAGCATTTTAGACCAGTTGAACGGGGACACCCTGTATAATACAGTATCACCTATTTTAAATACGCGCTCCCACTTTATCACGCTATATTTCGAAAACGGTTGATCGTACAAAAACATGTATATGAACAATTTTGTAGAAAATACTATTTTACGTAAGTTTTGTTTTGGGCTCTTCGACGTCAGATGCACTGGAAGCGATATTTTCGCAAAAAACCGAATTTCGTGACCTTTGACCTTCGATATCTTAAGACGCACAAGGGTAGACATATTCGATGCTTTTGTGCTTCATAAGGACATCAAAAGGAAGGTCTCTACAAAAATTCAGCTTGTTCGGCCTCATTCCGCAGAGGAAATCTAATTTCCCTGGGGTATTAAAACATTCGCGGCCATTGATACAACTTTGTTCTTTTGTTCAACAGGATTCAAGTTTATAAAGCTGCTACGGAAACCTTACGTCAATAAATTCAGCTCCTATTTTTGCTGTTGAACAATGCAAAAAACAAAATCAAAATTTATGTTTAGTTACGTTTTCTAAATTTAGGTAAACATCATAAGTATACGAAATATTTTATGTTGTAGGTTTTACCAAACACTTTTGGGCGAGCTTTGAGGAAGATCTCCAGGAACCTCAATACATATCCAAAACAAATTAATTATAAAACAATTGACAGCGAACTAGTAAATATTAACGTAATAAAGAAATCGAATCATGTGCTTAAACAACGCTTATAGGTACCTCATTAATATAGGTCCAATTGTTTTTATTACAATTATGGATTATTAAGAATATATTGCGGTAATTAGATTATTATATTGCAAACAAAACAGCACTCACAAAACAATAGTGTTCACAAAAAATAAAACGTAGAACTCCCACCGGATACTTGGAGACTTTTTGTATGTTCAATAGGAACCTAAACGCTAACTTTTGAAATACATCCTATGTATCTTTATAATAATTTGTTTAGGCTTTACATGTCTTTCAAAGTAAGTGTACTGGACTAAATGTCGACTGACTGAAATATTCAGTATTTTTGTTTCTTGTCCCAATAACTGACGTGTGCAACATAAATTAGAGATAACTTCTTACACTCTTTAAAGTTTGGAGTTGCGAAGAAACATCAATAGCAACGTTTTCAAATGGGTAAGAAAAAGGCAGACAAACTAGAAGAATTTCCACAACCCATTTTACTTTTTTTTTTGGAGAGACAATAATATCAGATTTTGTTTATATCCGTCCCTACAACTCCCTCGAGGGTGGGTCTTTGCATCACAACAAATATTAATTTATGAATGGAATGTCTTGTCTATCTGTGATAGGTTATTGATACCTTAGAACTTATCACTATCTGTTAATATTCTAGAACAAAACGTCATTTGCTACAACCGGTCACATGTCTATTATAAATGTGACGTTGCAAATGGGTTTTTTGGTAAAAAGCAGCAGGACAATAGTCGCAGGAAAATGATCTTTCCCTGTTACATTCGTACTTCTGATGCCGCCACAGGCTGTTGGCATGTATGTATTGTTTGCCGCACGTAGGGCAACAATTTTTTATTCCTGAAAGTGTAGTTGAGAAAAAATGTAATATGATATAAAAAATTGAATTTCACCAACATTGAACACAAGCACATTGTTTTTGGTTATTGCACAAGCGGGGTATAACAAAAAAAAAAGCGGTAGCCCTTCTTAGAATTAAAAATCTTTGGAAAATAGAAAATATTTTTAAGACTACTTTCTTTTTTCCAAAAAACTGAAACTCTTAAAAAGATTGTCTATATAAAAATATAACTATTTAAATTTTCACAAAATTTTGTTAGTTTCTAAAATCCAGGAGCATCTTTAACAATATTTCTGCAATAATACTTTTTGTGCCGACCTAAGTTTTGTCTATAAAAATAGCTCTTATCACAATGTTCGCATTTATAACATCTGGTTCTTTCAGTGTCGCATTTGGCACATTCATAATTGCATTTTCTACCTAAAAAAATAATATTAATTAGGCCCAAAATAAAAGATGCATACAAACCTACCTACTTCTGTTAAAAATTTACTTGATGGAAGAAACACATTTTATTTGGAAATAAATTTTATTAAAAATAACTACCCAAACATTATTGAGTCATACAGTTATAATCATCAATTATTTTGAAAGGAAACCAAAAAAGTTTCCACAATGTCAATTATCATTGCTTCCTTTCAAAATTTGTAATGTATTTTGATCAATTAGGTATCGATTTAAACAATCTCTCTAATAATAATAATATACAACAATAACGTATCCAATTACATGACTTATTGAAGAATTAAATATGTGCACAAACAACTATTGTGTTTTTCAGGAACTATTAAAATAGTATCTTAATTTAAAAATGGTATTATAAAAACAAAAAAAAAAAAAAATCACAAAAATCCGAGTATTATTGTAGTTATTTAGCGTGGTGGAGCTCCAGGAGGCTCTCAAATATGTTTATGTTCCCTACACCTTATACCTAATATTAAAACTAAAATTTATTGTGTCACCAGTGAAGCGCAATATGGAACTTACTAAATATTTAATTTTTTTTGAGCATTTAATATCAAATAAAGCGACCTATGCATATTCAATTAATTCTAATTTTAAAATTAGCTGGGTTTTTTTGTGTATAAACGCCACCGTGGCTTTCCATAAGGTAAACTTTGCCATAAGTCAATCTTTGAATTTTATTATATTTCGTGTATAGACCCAGCTATAGTTTCTTCCTCTATACGTCTGATCGTCAATAATATTGTAAGAGGCACTATTCACCTTGCTTGGTCTTTATTCATAAATTTCTTAATCAAAACATTCCGATGAATTCCGGATCCTTCTCAAGGCTGGCAAAACCCAATGAAGTACTTAAAAGCAATAGATACCGGCATTGCAAGAAGGGCTATCGGAGAATATCTAAAAATAAACCCCAAAAATCCACCCATAATTTAAAAAAAAAAAAAGAGACAAACAATTATTATTTAGCTGTTATTTACCTGAAAATTGGTATACACCTTCATTTTGACGTTCTAATAGTTGTTGCAGGTAGAAGGTCATAGGAATCGTTTTTTTGCGATTATCTCGGTTCCTATTGCTCCAACGATATTAACACTTATTACAAAGGTTAGAGATATTAAAATTCCTAAGCACTTTTGTTTGAAACTTTTTTTCATAAAATGAACCGTTCTTGAGATAGAGCGCGAAGAGTGGTGAGCCCTATGCTGCAGATTTTGACCAATAAAAGCAACATAACGGTGAATTTTTGCATACACGTTATTGTTATGAGTCTAAATAATTGATGAAAGTTTCCCATCGATTCGGTGATCATTTGGGCCGTTACGGAGGGTCAAAGGTCAGGAATGCGTTTATCAATATCTCAAAAACGGTCAACTTTTTTAAAAATTTCTTCTTAAAAAAGTTATAGATCATTAAATTTCTCCAAATTTGGTCTTAGGTATATTGTTCTACAATTAGCCCTTCTTGAGATACAACGCAAAATTTAAACAAAGATGAAGGGCCCTTCTCGAAATGGGGCGAAACAAGCACTCCTGACCTCTGACCCTCCGTAACGGCCCAAATGATCACCGAATCGATGGGAAACCTTCACCAATTATTTAGACCAATAGCAACAACGTGTACGCAAAAATTCACCGTTAGATCCCTTTAATTTATAGGTCAATAGGGTTTACCACTCTTCGCGCTCTATCTCGAGAACGGTTCATTCTATAAAAAAAAAGTTTCAAACAAAAGTGCTTAGGAATTTTATTATCTCCAACTTTTGTGATATGTGTTAATATCGTTGGAGCTAAAGGAACCGAGATAATCGCAAAAAACCGATTTCTGTGACCTTGGACCTGCAATAACTAAAGAAGCCTTGGCTACAATTATTGTGACTTTTGGGACAACTATTGGAACGTCAAAATGAAGGTGTATACCACTTTTCAGCTTCTTACCTAAAATTGGTAGGTAGACCCCTATTTTATGCTTAATTAACTGCACTATCGTTGTTTTTTCTACCCTTGAGAAGGATGTCGAATTCAGTTGGCTCTTACTTTTCAAGTTCAAAAGCTTTTCATAAAATAATTTGAACAATCTATCAAAAACCTTGTTATCTATGTTTACTCTATTCAAAAAATGAACATTTGTAAATAAAATAGAACAGCGTCGACAAAACTTTGTTTCTAGTCTAGTTTTTAGCGTATAGTATAAAAATTAAAAACTTAAAATCCTGAGCAAAAAAAGCAAAATAATATCGCGAAAAGCAACTATCAACTTACATGCTACAAATTCTAACCGAAGTAAAAAAGTGATGTGGGAAATTCATATTTTTGCATTCTATTCGTATACATAATTAAAAAAAAAAAAAAGATATTCAAAGGAAACGGGTAACTAATTCTTACGATAAAAAAGATGGTACAATGGAAAAAAAATTAGAATCTTAAAATTATTATTATCAATCACATTTATAATCCCTAGAAAACTACGACTGCTTTAAAAAAAAAAAAATAATTGTGCCGAAAATCACTTGCGATGTAAAATAGGATATTTTTTTATCACATATCTAGTAGTTTGGCAAAAAAAATTTGACACTAGCCATTTTATAACACGTTATTATATGTAATATAAAAGTAGAAAATAATTATTATACATATACACTTAAAAATAACAATAATAATAATTATATGTAACTAGCAAATATAAAAATAGTGTATATAATACCATAAAAATTGGCAGTTAATCCCTTGAGTTTACATTTCAGAAATATACAGGGTGTTCACGATAGTATAAATATTGAGGTAGAAAACAATTTTATGGAACTGTATGTATATGTTTTATAGAAAAATGTAAGGCACGTGTGATGTGAAAGACCCCACCGACCTCCACAATGGATGAACAGTCAAAATAAGGCCAATATGGTCTATGCATAAGAGGTAATTGATAGCTGCTAACGAGTAACGGCTTTAATACCTATCCACCATTAAAATATTTTTTTAGTAGGTAACGATTTTATTCAAACTATGGTGTGATAAGGTAGCGGTCTGTCTGCCAACATATAATGTTTTAAATTAAACTGTTCATCCAACTGTATAAATCAGTTTAAAGACCCTGTAGTAAAGGCAGTTTTATAGGTATTTATACAAATGTCTACGAAAAATTGGAATGGCAAAAATAATTTTGGAATTCTATGAAGAATAAATACATTGGAGCATTTTTTTCAGCAAGAAGATCCTTCCTCGTCCATTTTCATTTCCGTGGTAACATTTTTAATCATTGAATAATCTCTCAAACCATCGGAAGATTCTTTAGAATCGGCGTTTTCTCCTCCATCCGTTTTTTCTTGTTTAAATATACTTGAATAATCAATTTCCCTGTGCATTCTCTCCATATGTCTAGCCATATGCATCTTTTGCTTGGCCTTGTATATGCAATAGGGACACTGAAATTGCGGTTCTTTACCGCATTCCCACTTCTGATGGTTCCTGAGAGAACTCTTTAGTTTGTAAGTGCGTCCGCAATCACCACACACAAAACCTCCGCTTTCGTGATGTTGAATTAAAAGTTGCCTGAAATTTGGAAAAAATAATAAACGAATAAAAGGTATTGGGGATTGAAGACTAGGCCTCACCTATTCAGTTTGGGTGCCGGGGTTATGCTTAAATCCAAAGATGCAGGTGGAGTAACACCAACTCTCTGGAAAATGCTCTTTTTCAAATTCTCACGCATGAGCATCATTGGAAGCATTAAATTTTGAGGCCATTGATCCCATGAACGCGGCAAGCTAAGATCTTGTGCTAAAAATGGGGAAAGTTAGAACAAAAGGAAGTTGTTTCGGGACTTTTATTTTAAAACTACATAATATTCACACTTATGGGGATGATAGTGATGATTCTAACAGTTCTAATAATGGTGTCAAGTAAAGAGAGACAGGGGGGACAGAGAGAGAGAAAGACAAAGAAAAATAGTGCATGAATCAAATAAAACAGTTTATTGTATTAGAATGTCCACTGTTTCCTGTGAATCAATTTCAACGCAATTAGGCAAATGTATTCATTCCCAATATCCTAAAGAAATTTTCCGCCATTTCATTGTGATTATTTCTAATATGTTCATAAAGGTGCGATCGTCTTTTACTTTTCCAATTGCAAAAATCACAAGGGAAATTTCTTTGGTTTCCGCACTCGTATTTTTGGTGTCGCTGTAAGGAATCGTACCGTGTATAATTACGACTGCATTTAGTACAAAGGAAATTGCCTTTTTTCCTATATCTGTTTTCTCTTCTTTTGTAATTTTTCTGACTTGTATTTTTGATATCTGAAACATAATTGTTAAAGGCATTTAAATTTGTTGATTTCCAATAAATTTAAATTACTTGTTACAATAAGAAGTTGTCACACGTCACTTTGTTGCCACTTCATTTTGCCTCAAGTATGTGTCAGATTTATCTTTCCTCTCAACTTCCCCAGACCTACCTACCTTCTCGAGAACTGTAACTAGCTCATCGTCAAGAAAAAATCCTTTTTCTTCAGAATACGAGCTTTATTTAAACTACACCCACAAACATCAAAGAAAAAAAACAGACACAACAATTTATTCAGGCAATTAGAATTCTAAAATAAAACTAGAAATATAGGTTTATTCTTTTATTCGTAAAAATAATTTGCAATAGATACCGCAAAAATATAAGGAAATATTCATTCTAAAAAAGAATGACGACGACTAATAACATTGACCTGGGTTTACCGGTGTATATGCGGTCTTGGTTAACTATATATACAAGGTGTACCATTTAAAACAAAAAAAAGGCTAAATATCTGATGCCACGTTTATTTTTTTAAAAATCGCTCGTACACGTAATTTGATTTTCAAAGGGGGAAGTTTTCTGCAACCATTTTGAGCACTTCAGCTTTAACCGTCTAGGCGGGGTGGGACCAACCCTTAATATTTCAAATGGAACAAGGGGTCCAGTGATACCTCTTTTAAAAGAGCGTTCAATTCTCTTTCATTTGATGTCATTTGAAAGAAAACTGAACACTCTTTTAAAACAGGTATCACTCGACCCCGTGTTCCGTTTGGACTGGTAAGTCCAAACCCCCTAGAGGGTTAAGGTAGTGCCGAAAATGTTTCAAACACTCACACAATCAAATTACGTGTACGAACGATTTAAAAAAAAATAATAAAAATGACATCAGACATTTAGCCCGTTTTGTTTTAGATGGTATACCCTCTATATGGGTAAGTCGAGTTTGTCCCTGAAGGCGCGTTCCCACAAAGCGATTTTAGTTGATCGAAAATCGCTTCAACGAAAATTTGTCCCAATCCAACTTTGGCCGGTTCGTTGTCACTGCCAACCGAATTCAATATTGGAATTGAAAAATAATTGGTTGGAAATTGATGTAGAATATTCAAACATTCAAACATGGTCAGAAAGTATTTTTCTTCGTAATTTATTTCTTCTCAAAATTCAATTTGTAACCCAGAAACGTTTTTTGATACTCTCCATAATTCTGCATTTGGTACGCACAACCTCATTGGTAGCCATGTTCCTTTCAACTATCGGTTCAATATTTGTTGAACAGTAGAAACACAATTTCAGTTATCAACAAAAATCGTTCAACTAAAATGGTTTGTGCAAAATTCTAGATTGGATTACAGAGGGGGGCAAACTTGACTCACCCCAACTATATATGGGAATAGTAACATGCAGTTCCGTCCACTAGGACTTTTTTTATGTAGGAATAAGTTACAGCTTGTTTGGACCAATTGATCAAAAGCTGGTTCAGGCATCTTTGATCGTTGCCGCATGGAGACACTCGGAGTGCTGTATTGGTATATTGCATTGCATACCATAGGTAAAGTAAAAAAATTATTCAAGGGAGAAATTTTATCTTATTTTAATATAGATATGCTTTTTATCTTTTTGATTCTCCTGCCAAAGTTGTACGTTTGCTGGACCTGTTCAATGTTGCTGCATTTAAGGATTTTTTTCGCGTTGCTTGTCTGCTTGTGCTGTTTTCAGTTGCTGAACAATTTTCAGTATTTCTGCTGGTATCCTAAAGAGTCCATTAAAACATAAGAAAATCGGCCACTCTGTACAATCAATTTTTATTGTACCTAGTTAAACTGGTCCAATCACCTGCAACTTATCTCTACATAAATATATGAAACTTATAAAACATCTGGAATGAGCACTCAATAGCCTTGAAAAGTTTTTATTGTATTTTCTCCCCTCTCGAGCCCACGCTTGAGTGGTTAAACCTCAAAGGCTTTTTGAGTAATAAAGATCCTCTTCTACAAGATAAAATTAGCGGCGTTCCAGGTGTTTCAACATAATATAGGTTAACATTAAGCAAGTTTAATTTCTATTTCTAACTTAAATACTAAGCACCTTAAAATATATTCACTTGAACCAACGTAGATTAAGCAGAAGACATTAATTTTATTTTGTTTGAAACGATGTTTGTATTTCAAACTTTTCTTCTCAAAAAATAAAATTCAATTCCACTATATTTCTAACGTAACATTTATACAAATCCAAAAACTTACTGAATATTTTTTTTGTCAAAAAATTTGACTTTTTGCATCTCTATCGATACGTGAACCATTTATTTTTTTTTCACCGTGAAAAATAGTACATTGTGTGTTTAGATCCTCCGGAATACACAAACTATTTTTGCAATGCGATCAATCGAAATGTTCAAAAAAAATAATAATAAGAAATATTATTTGATAATTTCATATATTTACATTAACGTTTATTTTCAAATGAAGCACTGTTTCTAAAAAATAGCTTAAAAATGTATGTTGTTCCTTTAAATCAGCTGTACGGGAATCACTTTTCCAGCATGGGGGAATAGTAAATTATAGGTGGGAAGTGTTTAATTCTTTTCGAGAGATTAACAGTTAACTATAATCTCGAGACTAAAACTTCCTACCGAGGTTTGTTAACGATTTTACCTTCAATCATAATTTTAAATGAAAACTATTTAATTTTTTTTCTACAAGTTTTGAAATACACTGCCGAGCATAAAATTAGGCTCATCCCATAATTTGCAAGCAAAACTTGGGGCAAAACAACAAGAACTTTTTTAAATTCAAGCAACTACGACAAAATCATCGCATAAAGTTAGTGAACTTTACACCAAAAAAAAAAAAAAACAATTCGCAAAAACCAAAAATTTTAAAAATAATTGCAAATTATGGGGTAACCCTAATTTTATGCTCGGCAGTGTATATTAGTCTAGGAAAATTGTCGAAAAATACATGCATTGCAAAAAAAATCCTAACCAAATGAACTTTTCAGGGATGATAGGGGGCGGGTGAGTTATCATAAAACCGAAGATATCACACATGCACCCTTCTGGCGTTATGTGCTATAGGGGTTGAAAGTGCGCCATTGGTGATTACTTGGTACCTATTGATTTTACAGAAAAATGTTTGAAATAAAAGATGTGCAACATTATTTGATCTACAGTGTTTATCTAAAGACTTTTTTGATTAAGGGCTGTCTGTGGTCATAAGGGCCATTTGAAATTTAAAATAAAAATATTTTTTTTTACCAACGTGAAATTTTTTAAATAGGGATAATTTAAAGTTTTTTTATTTATTTACAAAAAAAAATTCTCAAAAAAGTTTTATAAGATTACATTTCCTACAATTTTTTCTTTATAACTTTTTTTGTAACTTACCTCTATTCAGCGGGAGGACACTTCCCTAGGGAAAATTTTTTATTTTCGGAAAACTTTAATTCAAAAAAATTGTTCTATAATTATTCTGTATACGATTTTGAAAAAATAATAAAAATTTGTCGTAACGTTATTAAGGGTAGTTTTTAGGGGTATAAATTGTTTTTTTTTTCCTTTTTTCGCCTTTAGTACATATAAAAAATTGCAATTAACACTGTATTAAAAGGATTTTTTTTCCACCATATTTTTGTTTTTAGGGGTAGTTCGCCTATTTTCAACTTTCCAAAAAAAATTTACTGTGGAAACTTCTTCATTTTATTATTTTGATCAACTTTTCTTAATAATTTTTTTGAAAAAGGGCGAACTACCCCTAAAAAAAAGGTGGGGAAGTGGCCCCTCGCAGAACGCGGGTAATTTACAAAAAAGTTGACAAGGAAAAATTGTAGGAAATGTAATCTTATAAAACTTTTATCAAAAAATTTTTTTTGTAAAAAAATAAAAAAACTTTGAACTACCCCTATTCAAAAACTGCAGGGGGTGAGTAGAAACTTAATAAACCAAAAACGTTGTACATGTTGTTAGAAAGATTTTTTTTTTTTCAGGTAATGACCAACGTGAATACAGGAACACAACGGTCCCTGTTTGGGAATCGACCCACTGAGCAGTGGACCCAAACTTCCCGTGCCAATCCTTGACGCGTTTCGTCCTTCTTAGGACTCATCAGAAGGACATAGGCTGAAGCTCCCTGTCCAAGCAAAATTGAACTTCGTTGACCAGTCAGAAACAACTACTCCGAGGGCAAATACCCCTATCGGCGTTGAACTACACTGACTGGTCTGAGCTTTCGTTGGCAATGAAAATTGTTAGAAAGATTTTTTTCAGGTAATGACCAACGTGAATACAGGAACACAACGGTCCCTGTTTGGGAACCCTGTTTGGGAATCGACCCACTGAGCAGTGGACCCAGACTTCCCGTGCCAATCCTTGACGCGTTTCGTCCTTCTTAGGACTCATCAGAAGGACATAGGCTGAAGCTCCCTGTCCAAGCAAAATTGAACTTCGTTGACCAGTCAGAAACAGGGACCGTTGTGTTCCTGTATTCACGTTGGTCATTACCTGAAAAAAAAAAATCTTTCTAACAATTTTCATTGCCAACGAAAGCTCAGACCAATCAGTGTAGTTCAACGCCGGTAGGGGTATTTGCCCTCGGAGTAGTTGTTTCTGACTGGTCAACGAAGTTCAATTTTGCTTGGACAGGGAGCTTCAGCCTATGTCCTTCTGATGAGTCCTAAGAAGGACGAAACGCGTCAAGGATTGGCACGGGAAGTCTGGGTCCACTGCTCAGTGGGTCGATTCCCAAACAGGGACCGTTGTGTTCCTGTATTCACGTTGGTCATTACCTGAAAAAAAATTTCTAACAATTTTCATTGCCAACGAAAGCTCAGACCAATCAGTGTAGTTCAACGCCGGTAGGGGGTATTTGCCCTCGGAGTAGTTGTTTCTGACTGGTCAACGAAGTTCAATTTTGCTTGGACAGGGAGCTTCAGCTTATGTCCTTCTGATGAGTCCTAAGAAGGACGAAACGCGTCAAGGATTGGCACGGGAAGTCTGGGTCCACTGCTCAGTGAGTCGATTCCCAAACAGGGACCGTTGTGTTCCTGTATTCACGTTGGTCATTACCGGAAGAAAAAAATCTTTCTAACAATTTTCATTGCCAACGAAAGCTCAGACCAATCAGTGTAGTTCAACGCCAGTAGGGGTATTTGCCCTCGGAGTAGTTGTTTCTGACTGGTCAACGAAGTTGTACATGTTGTAGAAAACTTTTTCACGTTGTTAAAAACATGATTTTCATTTTAAATTTCAAATGGCCCTTATGACCACAGACGGCCCTTAATCAAAAAAGTCTTTAGATAAACATTGTAGATCAAATAATGTTGCACATCTTTTATTAAAAACATTTTTTTGTGAAATCAATAGGTATCAAGTAATCGCCAATGGCGCACTTTCAATTTCAACCCCTTTAGCGCAAAACGCCAAAGGGATGCATATGTGATATCTTCGGTTTTATGATCACCCACCCACCCCCTATCATCCCTGAAAAATTCATTTGGGTAGGAATTTTGAAAATCCACAATTTTCCTAGACTATAAATATTTTGACGAGGGCGAACATGGAGCATTCTCGTCTCTCAGGGCGGGAAGTAGAGGTAGGCCCAACCTGCAATGAAGTCGTGTATGCCTACATTACATAAATTTGATTGTAAATGAAAGTGATTCCCGTGAAAGTGATTTCGCACTATATGAAATAAATACCTAGTCATCAGAATATTATATCTGTCGGAAAAAAATAGGAATAAACCAGTTCCTGGACAAACCAGATCATTGACCCTCATAAGGGTTCTCTGCTTGAACAGAGTGATTAACATAAGTATGTACATCTAAAGAGTGTTGAAAATACCTAATCATATTGTTCTTGATTACTTGCACTTTCTTGACTGTTTTCGAACACTGTGAAGATATTCAGTCGCAGGTTCAAAAATAAAAATAGCTGAGTTTTTTCTTACGTTTCAGAATTTATTTAGTCGTGTATTTAGTACTCCATCATAAAAAAAATTAAGTGCATCCCTGTTATATTTTTGTTTTCCTTTTTTCAGTTTTTAGGCTTTTCTGCCTCTGATTTTCGTGATGGTTGGACCACTATATTTTCATACGTAAGAAAAAAATTTCAAATATTTTTATTTTTCAACGTGACTAACTCGCAAGAAAACATTCACAATATTCTTGAGCCCAATAAATCACACGTTGTGGATAATTATTCACGTCAAACAGCTCCAAGAGAAATGAATATTAAGACACCACCGATTTGGCATTTACTCCAATGCTTAATCATGAGGCAAAAAACCCAACTATTAAATGTCTTTAAAAATTTTATAACATAAGGAAAAAAAATATGGTATTCAAGTTTATTGGGTTCACGTAGCTTCAGTATACTTTGCACGTAATTTCTTGGAATTTCAAAGCTTCCACCAGTCTGGTTGCTTTTAATTTTCCGCTTCTATAGTTTCATTGCCTCCCGGATCTTCTCCTTTAGCCTCTACTACAACTTCACTGGATATAACGTTCACATTTGGTGCAACCGTGTTTCTACGTCTGAAAGTTCTTTTTTTCACTACCTGCTGCTGATTACCAGCAAAATTTTCTCTGCGAGAAAATAGCTCATCTTTGGCAGTTTTTGCTTCCCTTCTAGAAAACAATTCGTTTTTCGGTGATTGATTGTCACTATCGGCAATAACTTCTCCATGAACAAATTTCAAATGAGCACGCAACTTTTTAAGATCAGTGGTTTGGAATGAACATTTGTGACACATAGTTTTGTTAATGGGTTTTGCTAGAATAGCAAGAGGCTCTTTAAAAGTATTTGTTTCATCATATTTGGCATAATCTTTATAATATTGAGTTTCTTGATGATACATTTCTGGTGCCTCGGGAGGAACATGTTCGACGGGATCTTGTTGAGGCACTGAAGAAATATTGGGAGCTTCTGGACAAGCTGGATTATTACCATCATAGTTTTCTTCTTGCGCAGCTTGATCCATGTATTTATCATAGCCTTCACGGTACTGATCGGATTGTTCTCCATACCTCTGTGAATCGTTGGTATACTGTGTATTTTCTGCAGGCTCGTATTGATACTGATATTCCTGACTATCATACTGATCTTTTTCCACAGGATATTCTTCCTTTAGTTCTGCATCTTGATGATACATTTCAGAGGGTTGATTATCACTATGAGGTGCTGGTGATTTATCTTCTTGACACAGTTTGTTGGAAACTTTGACTTGACCATAGTGTTTTTGAAGAAGTGCATAAGTAATTTCATTTTTCAATTTATCTTTTTTGTATCTTTCATATTCATCTCTCTCAAAGTTATCCGACGGGATATATGGTGAAACGTTGTGATTCATAGGAACAGGCGGTTCAATATCGAAACCTTCAGGATCTACTTGAACACGTGGAGGATCAGGATCAGGTATTTTCATAGGTTCAGTTACGAATTGTGCACTATCTGGTTTTACATTGCCCAATATTCGTTGCTTAGTAGTAAACCAATCTTCAGTACTGATATTTGGTGTCGGTTGAGAAATCCTTGGAGGATTTGGGCAATAATCTATTGATTCATAATGAGGCGTTTCCTCTGGTTTTTCTTTCGGCACTTCAGAGACGCTTATCTGGGGTAAATTTTCGATCAAAGATCGACTTTGTGATAATTTACGTTGCTGATTAACCCGGCGAGTGAAAATGCAAGACAAACTATCAGTTAACAAACCAGGATCCTTTTCGGGAGAAGGTTTAACAGGTAGTTTTTGCGGAGTGGCATTTTCAGGTTGTTGAGGGTTTGACAGTAGTTCCACTTTACGCACAAGTGGTTTTAAAGGACGAAAAGATTTTTGGGCAGCTTTGGGTTGCTGCTGGACATATACATGCGATAGTTTTGCTTGAGACTGTTCAGCTTCTCGCAAAGGAAATTTAATCTGCGTATTCCTTTGCTGCTGGGATGCAGGTTTGACCAAAGGTTTGGCTTGCAAAGACTTCATTTGCTGTGGTTGGCTTTTCATAAGATTTTCTGGTACTTTTGTTGGTTGTACGTTAATTTGTGGAGAAACTAGTTCCCTTCTCGCACCAGGAACTTCAACAGTTTTGTATGGAGTGTTATAAGAAGGAGGAGGATGATCTCTTCGTTCAGTATTAGATGTCGAATACAAGTTAGCACGCATGTAATTCTGTCGACGCATGTAACCTAAAAGAAGAATACTGTCAGTTAACTGAAAATTAAATTGAAACAAAATAAACATGGTTAAGGGAAATATTAGAAATCCTGTCAGCCATTTATTATTATTTATCAAAGCCAAAAAAATTATTTGTGGAAATAATTATTTACTAGAGATTACTTTATTTTATTTAGAGCAATTTAGCATTGAACCTCTAAAAGTTAGGTTCTATATCCAATCACTGGAACTGTTGCCGTGATTATAACGAAACCATAACACAGAAAAGCACTTAATGTAGGGCAGGGTGATATATGTTACTAACAAACTAACACAAACTGACGCAAACTAACCCAAAATAAGTAAAACAATTTCATAAATCAATCAAACTTTATTTAAAAAAAAAAATACTATGGTTTCTTGTATGCCTATTAAAATGCTTTGCATACTTTTCGCCAAACTGAACTGACCCTTTTCGATGGTCTTAAGCAGTCCTCTATGTATTGGCTTTTTATAATAACCATTACAGCATTGCAGATATTTTCTTACGACTTCACCAAGAAACATCCACTTAATATTAAAGTGAGAAAACTTAATAAAAAAATATCACAATTTTTAGTTGGTATGGTGGTTGGTATGGCCCATGAACAACCAGGATTTTATTCTTGAAAGAAAAATGGTGGTACCGCGATCGATAATGTTTGTTTGCATAAATGTATGCAAAAAGATCCATTCGAAAGATACTTCTACGCTTCACCTTCCGAGGATAACCTACCTTACCAATGTCAAGTTGTGTCAAACAGTTAAGTAAAATAAAACTAATTCGTCAATCGATTTATATATTGTGTACCTTGTATATTTTTTGCAGGCCTATTGAATTACCTTGCTTTTTGCAACATTTTTGGGTCACCATGTGGTAAACGTCACAAAATGACGATGAATACATTTCTGCAAAAAGCCTGTTCATTTTCAGTTGATCTGAGTAAATTAAATAATACAATTTTGGTTTCCAATAACCAATTGGATATAGATATTTATTTTTAGCACTAATTATTGGAATGTATAAAATAATTTTGCAATTACATATTATGTTTATTTATTGTTTTTACGAAAATAAAAGACAACATAAATTTGTTTTAATGATTGAAATTGATTCTCAAAAATCTATGAAAAAACTGAGATATTGCAAGGGTGGTAAGTTTTTGAGGTGGTTACACTGTATATATTATTTTAAAATAGGTAGGTACAATACCTCCTTCATCCGGGCCGTAACGGTCTACTGTCTATTTTCTATTATGAATCTTGTACTAACTGTGCCAACATTTTTAGGCCAAATTTCTTCGGGGTTCACCTCTCAAGTGGCAATCTTTACATCTATATTATGGCTATTTAGTATGTCCTGTACTACATTAATTACTATTGGTCTGGAACTAGGTCTATAAATTTAATTTAACATTTTTTGCTCCCGTCTTTCAGTCTCTGGTCTATTTATTCAGTAATGGACGAATAATTTCGCTTTAGGCTATTGTTCAAATCTTGATGTGAAATCGAAATCCCATGTTTTGACTTAATATGGCCCGGTAGATTTTTCAAATATTTACTAAAATGTTCACAGTAGGGGCAGTTATATACCTTCAAGTTACCACAAGTCAATTTGGTGTGATTGTAGTAGGAACCCTGGTGAGTGAAACTTTTGAGACATTTTGGACATTTTAGAATACGTTCTAGAACAAAATAAAAAAATAACTACTTATTAGTGGATATATGTATCTAATAATCTCTGGTACTTTGAGTTAGGTACTTTCATTTCACCCAGTATGTTAATTATTAAAAAAATTTACAATGAGTTCAAAAAAAGTATTTATTAAAAAATCTTTGTTACAAAAAATATAAATAATCATTTATAGATAAAAATTTATATCTTTCATTGATGTTTTACTAAATTTACCAAGTATTTTGGTGCGTTTATAAAATATCTTATTATCTTATTAATTTTGTGTTTTCCCATCACAATAGCTACAGGTTAAGTTAGCTTGTATATTAGGTATCCAGCAAGTTACGAACTAACAAACTTTATACTTCAGCCGTAAAGTAACATATGATATATTTTATTTACATTACTACATTTAAAAACCGTCATTTAACTGTAATGTTATAAACTTGTATAGTGGAAAAGTACTTTCAGTATAACATTATGATAAGGTCCATTTTCCATCATAAACGTTGGTCTGTTGCTAGTGCTAGGTTCGTATGGTTAGATGGCAACTGTCACTAAATGTCATCTTATTTCTTGAATTGATTATTTTTCAATAATAATAAAATAATTATGTGAACCAGACAAAAACAAGTGGAACTTGTGAATTTTGGAACTTGGCTTTCCTCTGTGACAGCAATCACCAAAACTGTCATGTAATAATTTTTATTTGTCACTCATTTGTAAAACGTAACAAGTCAAAACATAAACCAAGAAAATTAATTTTCACAAACTACTGGCACAGATCACCTAAATACAGATGCGTAAGTAAGTATCCTTGCCGTCGACGATTCAAAGCTATGAAACCAGGGTAGCCGGCTCCTCCGCGTCAGAACAATAAACGCGGCCGATCATTTATAGTGCGTGAGCGTGTTCCAGCCTGTTGTGTTTACATATTTTTGCGGGATTTAATAATAGTCTAGGGAAATTGTCGATTTAAAAAAAAAATCCTACCCAAATGAATTTTTCAGGGATGATAGGGGGGGGTGGGTGATCATAAAACCGAAGATATCACACATGCACCGCTCTGGCGTTTTGCGCTATAGGGGTTGAAAGTGCGCCATTGGCGATTACTTGGTCCCTATTGGTTTTACGAAAAAAAGTTTCAAATAAAAGATGTGCAACATTATTTGATCTACAATGTTTATCTAAAGACTTTTTTGATTAAGGGTTGCTGTGGTCATAAGGGCCGTTTGAAATTTATAATGAAGATAAAAAATGTTAACCAACGTGAAAAAAATTTCCACAACACATACAACGTTTCTGCTTTATGAAGTTTTTACTCTCTCCCTGTCGTTTTTCAATAGGGGTAGTTTAAAGTTTTTTTATTTTTTTCACAGAAAAATTTTCTTAATTAAAGTTTTATAAGATTACATTTCCTACAATATTTCCTTATAAACTTTTTTTGTAATCCCTAGAGGTGGGCCAACCTGCGATTTTACTGGAGCTGTGACAAGACGTGACTGCTCCAGTCATGTCACGGTGACAAATAGCAGTGATTTTTTGGAGCAGTTTAACATTGATTGACCGTGCTGGTAATACATAAAAATGCTACATTACATAATCGCAGTCCGCCCAGTTCGCAGTCACAGCCGAGAGAGGTGTGTTCCAGTTTGCCCTCTGCAGTACCAGTTTCTGTTTGGCGTCACTGCGAAGCGATTTACAATAAATATTTCATTATTTACATCACTTTGACTTGAGTTTAGTTCGCGCCGCATCGGTGAGAGATCGAAGCGACTGTGACAGAATGTCACTGCTACTTGAGTGGGACTGGAGAAGGCTGTGACTGTGACAGACGAGTAGCAGTGACAAAGTCACAGTTTGTGAAATCGCAGCCCACCTCTAGTAATCCCCCATTCAGCGGGTGACACTTTCCTTAGGGAAATTTTAGTTTTTAGGGGTATGTATTGTTTTTTTTTCTTTTCTCGCCTTTAGGGCATATATTAAGTTGCAATTAACATTGTATTAAAAGAATTTTTTTTCCACCACCTTTTTGTTTTAAGGGGTAGTTCGAATATTTTCAACTTTGTAAAAAAAAATTATAGAGAAAAGTTGTTCAAAATAATAAAATGAACAAGTTTTCTTGATAAATTTTTTTTGTAAAGTTGAAAATAGGCGAACTACCCCTAAAAACAAAAAGGTGGTGGAAAAAAAATCCTTTTAATACAATGTTAATTGCAACTTTTTGTATGCCCTAAAGGCGAGAAAAGAAAAAAAAACAATATATACCCCTAAAAACTAAAATTTCCCTAAGGGAAGTGTCCCCCCGCTGAATGGGGGATTACAAAAAAAGTTTATAAGGAAATATTGTAGGAAATGTAATCTTATAAAACTTTAATTAAGAAAATTTTTCTGTGAAAAAAAATAAAAAAACTACCCCTATTGAAAAACGACAGGGAGAGAGTAAAAACTTCATAAAGCAGAAACGTTGTATCTGTTGTGGAAATTTTTTTCACGTTGGTTAACATTTTTTATCTTCATTATAAATTTCAAACGGCCCTTATGACCACAGCAACCCTTAATCAAAAAAGTCTTTAGATAAACATTGTAGATCAAATAATGTTGCACATCTTTTATTTGAAACTTTTTTTCGTAAAACCAATAGGGACCAAGAAATCGCCAATGGCGTACTTTCAACCCCTATAGCGCAAAACGCTAGAGGGGTGAATGTTTGATATATTCGGTTTTATGATCACCCACCCGCCCCCATCATCCCTGAAAAATTCATTTGGGTAGGAATTTTTTTTGCAATGCATGTATTTTTCGACAATTTTCCTAGACTATAAATAAAGCATTACAAAAATATTCATGTGACACATGTGTTTATTTTACCAAAGAATCTGAAACTATCGACAAAAGCAAATTAAACATATTTTTGTCGTTTTTCGATGATGTTTCGAGCAATTTTTTTTACTTCGGCATTGGTGCGGCAAGCGTATGTCCGCAAAATTAACCTTGAACCACGAATAATTCACCGCGTTTTCGCATCTGTATGTAGGTGATCTGTGCTACTGGCACTACTGACTTGTAAAAATGACAGCTAAACTGTAAAAACTTTTTATAAGTCAGTTGAATTATTTTATCACAAGAATAATTGCCTGTAGGTACCTTCTGGAATACTTTTTTGGTGATAAACTGTTATAGTTATTACTGCGGCTTCATTAATAATATCTTCTGGCACATTCATTTCTGGAAAAAAAATTGCAAAATGCAAATCTTTCAGAAAACATATTTATAACTAGAAACAACGACTTAACAACGTCTCGTTCGCATAGTTATACCAACTATCCAAGACTGCATGAGAAAAAAAATCAATTAAAAAAAAGTATAAATTTTAAAACTTTTTTATGTATTAATTTTTTATTTTTCTCTATATATTTTACAAATAAGTAAGAAATAAATTATTGTGCATTATACGCCAGGTAGGTAGGTGACAAGCTCTGCTCGCTAGTCATTTCCTTCAATCGCCAGTAAAAGCTTGGCTAATAATGTAAAATACTATTGCAATGTTAGCCAAGAAATACATTGTGACAATTACCATCCATATAGGCGTAACAATTATTGAACACCCGTGATTGTCTTTTCCCATCGGTCTCTTGAGTGCCTTTGGAAATAGCTTTTGGCAGTGTTAATCAGTAAACATGTAGGGCAAGTAAATATATCTGTTTTGCAACTCAGATAGTCTTTTTTAGCTTAGCCTTTCTTCTAACGTGTAGATCCACTGCGGCATAGGATATCCTTCAACGCACTGAGGTGAGTTTACTCCTTTTCATCGGGCGACAGAATAAAACTATGACGTTTTTTCATATGATTCAAGAGTTCGTTTCTTCTATAATTTTTATATTCGCAAAATTTACAGCTATATTGTGGCTCCTTTCCACATTCGACTCTCAAGTGCCTTTGAAGATTCCTTTTGGCATTGTATGTTTTTAGACAATTTGGGCAAGTGAATTCATCCGTTCGAATAATTTCAATGTTGTCATCTGTGGGATCGTCTTGTGTTTCGTCTATGGAAATGACCTGGAAAAAATTGATTAAAATGATTGGGTATGAAAACAAAAACTTCAATTTCAACTATTAACCTGTTCGTTGGTTGCACTAATTTCTTTGTCTGACCTAGGACTTTCATCACAGTCCGTGACAGGTAATAAATCCTTCTGATCTTGTAAAGTCAAAACTATATCATTTTCATATAGAAGTGTATTATTGCTATCCTCAGGATAAATGACTTGTATCATCCAAGAATGTTCGGTGTCATTTTCCATATCGTTGAGTAGGTTTTCTATTGGTTCTAAAAGTAATAACTTTATTGTAAGGGTATTCTACCAATGAATGAATTTTTGAAGTGAATTGAGTTTTTTTTTTGTACGATATTTGATTTACAAATAAAAACCAGACAAGAAAAATATTAAAGATATTTTATTATATCAAAGCACACTTACACATATTACATAGTAATTAATGAACAAAAAATTTAGTATAGTAGCTAATTATAAATCCTAATCAAAAGCTTTTTCTGAGAACATTCAGAATTTGTATCAGGTTATGAATAAACTGCCAAGCTTGCCAATCATAATCCTATGTGAAGTGAAGTAATGGTGTGAAAATTATATTATACAATTCAACCATAATTTGTATAGCACTACCGTAATAAAACATTTTTTTTTACATTATATAAGCTAGAAATATTTCATACGAAAACGTTTATTACAGTATCTAGCAAAGTTGATAATAAATTATTAATATTTAAATTCTTAGAACAAAACTCAAATGTAGCCCTGAATAGTATAAACATTTACAGTTTCTGTAGCCCCCTCTTTCACCTAACCTAACTCCTAACAAAAAATTAACAAACAAAATAAGTTATTAATAAATAAATAGTTACTGGCATAAAATGACTAGCAAATTTCCATGGTAAGTCTTTAGTTACAGAATTTGTTATTTAGTGAGATCTTTTAAAAAGAAATTATTAGTAATTTAATTACAATTATTACATATCTACTTATCCAACTAACTAAAAATATATTTTTTTTTTGGGAAAAGATTCCAATTTTCAAATTAAATAAGTAACAACATCTAAAATCAATAAGTATTATTACTAGCATCATCTAAATAAACCTTATCAGGATTATTTTCGATTTTCACCCAAGTAGAATTGTTATATAAATACTGATGTCCTTTAATATGATTATTAAGAACATAAGTCCTTCGGGCTCTATAAGGGCAATGCGGACATTTAAGCACAGGTTCTATACCACACTCCTGTCTAATATGTCGGCTAAGAGTTTTCTTATGATGATAGATTTTGTTGCATCTTGGACAGGCAAAAACTGTTGTCATCGTTCGATCTGTAAGTTTGTGTTTGAAGCTAGGACGATCTAGAACATGGTTCAAAAAAATCGGTTGATGTTTGTACTTAAAGGCACATCGAAAGCTCACATACCTACTCAAAATCAAACCAAGATGCGGCAAAAAAAAAAAAAAAAAAAAAACACACAAAAAACACACTACTGAAAGCAAAACACAAAAAAAAAAATTAAAATAAAACTCAAGTCACAGTGAAAATATTATTTAAAAAAAAAAAAAAACACTGAAGATTTTTATTTCAAAATAGGTAGTTGATAAGACGCTGTAACATTATTCTAAGAGAAGACTAAGAGGCCACATGTTCGGAGGGAGAAATTGATACATTCCAGCTAAGATAGCGGTTTGATGTGGATTGGATTTTGAAGCCCTAAAACTAGAATTGAAATTGCCTGAAAATATAAAAATATAATTAATTCAAGCAACATAACAAAAATAATATTTATGGAAAATTTTGGTGTTAACACTTACCGAGAATACAGGCCAACTATCTCTTTGTCGTCCAATTACAATAAAAATGGTAATTTTCCTTTCAGCTTAAATCAATGGTTCGTAGCAGCTATAAAAAAAACGCTAAAACTCTAAATTGTTTTGAAAAATAATAAAATTAATACAGGAAACCTGCCTAAATTAAAATTTAATGATCTACTCAAAAATACATTCGTGACTATATCTAAGACTATTAAGTTTTCTAACATCTGGCATCAAGTAATATCTTTTACTTATGGCTTTAAACGAACTGTGGATATTTGGCTTTATGTGAAGGTATCAAACACTTAAAAATATTAAGACTTTTTGGGCATTCTATTTCCTTGTGAGATTTTAATTGCCTTTCGGATACGTATGAATTACCACACGCACATTTCAAAACTAAAATATAAAACAGTTATTAAAATGAATAATATGTTACATTTTTAACATTTGTGTTTGGGCTTTTAAAGCCTTTTGGTTAAATAAATTATTCAAATAAACAAAGCATGACTTCTTCCATAAAAGCAATAATCTATTTCGAGATTCACCCTCTGTAGTTCATTTTTATAGTGCGTACAACTCTTCTTTGAAAGAGTGTAACTAACTCTTCTTTGAAAGAGTGTAACTACCATCATACCTATATTTTCTTCGGTTATCGTGTACATTGTTTCACCAGGGTTCATACTTTTTGCTTTCTTTTTTTCCTAGCTAAACAAATCAATGACGACAAAAACGTTCGTCGGTTCTTAAAGCAGAAGTCATTCATTTTAATTTGTCAAAAAAATTGAATGTCTCATATCAATTAATCTACGACAACCATTTTTTTTCAAGTTATGATATGTTCGATATCAAAAGTATGAGCCCTCGTGAAACGATCTGTACTTTATTATTTGGGTGAAAAATATAGGATAGAATTAATTGATGTACAACAAAAATAATTTTATCATAAAATACGTAGGTAGGTATAGTAAAAAAATGAATTAATCAAGTAAGGGATATATTTGATTTTATATTTAACAAAAGTACCAAAGCGAAATTTAGTTATTTACATTAATGCATTTTTGTCAAATAGAACACTGTATATTTGAAAAGACTTTTTTCCTGATTCCAAAAATATGTTATACATGATGTTCTATATAATTCATCCACCCCTTTCCTAAACATAGGCGTTTTAGAAATTTAAAAAAATAATAATAAACATACATATTAGGTTAGTAGTTAGCCATGATGAACAAAAATCGAAAATGACTCGAACTTTCGGCATTTTTTGTTTCTTACTTATCAAATAAACAATTTATACAAATATTAGGTAACTATAAGGGTGGGTATTATAAAACTATGTTGACAGAAAACTAGAATCTAACTTCTGGATTTACTATGAAATTCCAGAAGTTAACTTTTAGTTTTCTGTCAAAATAGTTTTATAATACTTGCCCTAAGGGTGTATTCCGTTTGTACCTTTGATTAACGGGTCGGTAAATGGCGGTAGAATATCGGTTCCCGAGAATCCGGTTAGAAATTGTGCCGGTAAGCATCATGTTATTTCTTTAATGTTACTGTATTATTATGTTTGGCATAATTATTTGACACATAAAAACCAAATATACAGGGTGTCCCAGAATATATGGGCAATCTCTCGGATCCAGATAGAACTTAAAAAAATTACATGACAACTTCCTATAAAAAAAATCCCACGGCCCGCCCTACGAAGTTACGTGCCCCTAAAGAATGCCCCTGAAAATCGGTTTTTTGTTGATAACTTTCAAAATACTTCGTGTAATTTTTTTTTGATGGATACTAGGTAAGACCCCTTAAAATGGACCCTCTCAAACACACTTGACCAATCTAGTTTGCCAGGGACGGACTAGCTTTAACGCAATAATGACACTGAGGAAATATTAGTAGAAAAGATTAATTTTCAATGTCGCGAATTAAGGGCTAATATTTTGAAGTATTGTCGGGAGTCGAACAATCTTTCATTAAAATTGGTATGGAATGCATAAGATTAGAAGGATCTCATGTTGGGTCGACATAAAAAATGATTTAATAAAAAACCATTAATACACAAAAACAGATTTTTCTCGAAACCAGCTAATTTTTTTGACATCGAATAAGAGTACCTTTTTTATAGTTCAAGGTTGAAACTATCTAAAAATATTATTGCTATGCCTATATCATACAGGGTGTAAAAAAAATTAGCATTATTGTGTTAAAACTAGTCCGTCCCTGGCAAACTAGATTGGCCAAGTGTGTTTGAAAGGGTCCATTTTAAGGGGTCTTATCTAGTATCTATCATATTGAAAGAAAAAAAAATTACACGAAGTATTTTGAAAGTTATTAACAAAAAACTCCTTTAGGGGCACGTAACTTCGTAGGGGGGGCCGTAGGAATTTTTTTTTATAGGAAGTTGTCATGTTATTTTTTTGTGTTCTATCTGAATCCGAGAGATTGCCCATATATTCTGGGACACCCTGTATATACCGGAAAATATCGCCGCCCGTTGCTCTGGTGATACTGTTGACAATTAGTTTTAGGAATCGTGTTCCGTATGTAACAGCTTTTTCAGCTTACCAGTACAAACGGAATACACCCAATACCTGCAGTAAAAATGTATCAGTATTTAATTCACTTATCGGTTCGTTATAAAGCAGATACAATATAATCGTAACCTAAATAAAATGGAGTATGTTGAAAAATAAAAATTGAATATCATAAAATTAAATTATTTAAATGCAAAAAATACTTCAACAGCTCAGAGAGTAAAAAATTCCAGACAGGAGGATTTCTACTCGTATAGCAATTCATATACAGTAAAAGAATTGAATGAAAGGAAAACACTCAAGCGGAAAGTTAGAACAGTAGAAGAAACGTTGATCAAGATTTAAATATTTTACTATATTTTGAAGGTACCTATATTTATTTTTATTTTGCGTTGTTTCGAAAATCAGTAGCTAGATTCAATTCCTGAGGCAACAATTTATTCTAATAAATCAGGACATGAAATTCATTAACATATAAGACCTATAGGTTTTGACGTGTTCGACATCTTACACATGACAAGTTTAGTGGCGGCAAGTGTCTATACTTTTCGCCAGTAAACTGGCCAAGTGTGCACGTACCTTAAGCTAAAAAAATGCTGCAGTTTTGTCAAGAAATATAGGAGAGACTTACGAGATATAAATATATACGGGTGTTCCATAATAATCGGGACAAACTGATGGAAGGTTGTAGAGGAAAGCAGGACCTCGAACAGGACATAATCTTATTCTGATTATGATCAAACTGACTAGATTTGTACTGGACGCAATAATTATTAACCTTACTGTACTGTACAAAGTACATACCTTTTTCTCATTACCAAGTTAGGCCAGGAAAAAGAGGTTGAACCTCGCAAACTCGACACAAGTTCTGTTTTATTTTTTTTTTTCTGGTAAGACAAGATTTGCTTTTTATGGGTCTAACTTTTTCCAACAAAATTTCACCCTGGTACATCCCCTTCCATCCTCCTAAAGGTCGTTTTTTGTGGTTTTTGCGAAACGTAGCGCTTCCGCTACGTTTTACAAAAAAATACCTTCATAGGAAATTGACGCATACAGATTAGGTAGATATTTGTAGATATCCTCGAAAACCTCGATTTTTATTTTCAATAATTGCGGATTTTTTCTGGTAGAATTCAAGTATACAGCATGATTCACTTAGTAAACACTTAGGCCAGGAACGAGAGGTTGAACCTCGCAAACTCGACACAAGTTCTGTTTTATCTTTTTTCTGGTAAAAAAAGGGCTGCTTATTATGGGTCAAACTTTTTCCAACAAAATTTCACCCTGGAACATCCCCCTAAAGGTCGTTTTTTGTGGTTTTTCCGAAACGTAGCGCTTCCACTACGTTTTACAAAAAAATACCTTCATAGTAAATTAAAGAGGATTAAATTCTCTACAATTTATCCAGCGACAGCATATGCCTATCACCTACCCTTTAGTCGGGGTGGCGCTCTAAAATTGAATGACTTGAAAAAAGATGTTTTTTTTTTCATTTTCTCGCACACAATGCCCTCCATGTAAATGGTTTAAATTTAATTTTGTGCACACCTCCGACATATTTGCATAGACACCAAAAGTATTTTTCTAGTCTAACCCTTCTAGACGGAAAAAAATATATTAAGGGGTGAAAAAAAATTTATTTTTTTTTTGCTTTTTGTTTCACATAGATCAGTAGCGCAATATATAAACCAAAAATATATCTTCTTATTGCAACATCCCTCTGGAAACTACCCCTGCCCCTTATGAAAGTTGTCGCAACCACTCTTTTACGATTATTTCGTTACCTATGCGTTGTATGGGAAGGAAATTTATACGAAATTAAATACCACCATATGCTCTACAAATTAAGTCTTCATGCATTTTTTTATATTTGCAATCGTTACGCTGCAGTGGCGTGCCAAAGTTCAGCAATTTAGAAGTGGGTTCCAGTTTTATCCATTATCTCGTCACCTATACATTTTATCG